AGTAAGACACGGGCCGTATGATAAAATGAATGTAACATCAAATTATGAAGAAAATATATAAACACAAGATGCCATGATGGATTGCTCCTTTTCTTCTTACAGACGATACCACCAAAAGCTCCCTTTATGTGGTCAAAAAATTCAACGAGATATTGACAAGTATTTTGAAAGTATTGGAGCATGCATGAATTTGCAACAATGGATTCTGAGTGTTTGCCCGCAGCACAGCAGTAGGCAAACTACTCCAGCTGATTTTTCGTAAATACCCATAACGCTGTGTTGGTTTGACGATATTTACAATCCAATTAGGTGGCATTTGTGTGTACAGAACAATGTGACTCAGGTCACCTATGCTGATGGTGAGTGAATCCAGAAGCAGCCTGAGGCAAAAGCACATTGAGTGCTATCACCCCTTAATAATCCATCTTTAAAATCATTTTAAAAAGTAGACAATATCGAAAACAATAAACCATTTTAGATGTCCAAAATGATTAGAAGGATGGGTTACTCTCATTGTGCGTCTCCATTGTGTCACACAAAATCATGACGTGCGTATTATTCTCCAATCACAGTCCAATTCAGTTCTCATACGTAGTGACGTAACGATACTTTTCACTAGAATGTATATTGCACACAAAGTATTGTTTAGAACCGGTCAGTGATGTCAGCAATTGATGACGTTCGTAAACATTTTTGTTGCAGTGTGGTCATCATATTTTTCAGGTCTGATAAGAAGGACATATACTTTCTTGTTTGTATTCGTCAAAAATCCGTCGTAGCAGTTGGTGGTCTGGTTGTTTTATTCCCCAAATTTTCATATTCAGCATGCCCAGTTGAATTTACAACTTTTCCTCTCCTCTTCTGCTTAATGAAACGCTGCAGGCATTTGTCCCGTCACGTTGCTTTCAGTCTATCGCCGATTCTCCGAGTAGTTGTTCTCGCTAGATGTCATTGAAATCCGCATGTCGCACACTGTGTGGATGAGGTTGGAAGAAAGGATAGAACCAAGTTATAATTTACATTGTTTTCAGTAAAGTTAGCCTAAATTTCGCAACTGAATTGAGACAGTTTTAGTAAGAAGTACATGAAGTGGACAAATCCTTGGAAGAGCATTACATGTTGGATTTTGACATCAAATTGGAGAACATGGCCTGTACTGCGTGAAACAGATTAGTATAATTAACCATGTCAAAGGATTCCTCTGAAGCTCCTACTTACCAGGGGTCTGCAAACCTTTGTCCATAGATGTACCTTCTGTCATTCTGAGTGGTCAGAAGTTGCATTGCATCGTGGGCGATTTCTTGAGTCACCATTGTAAAACTGAAAATGGCCGAAGAATCCACGTAAAGTGTCCAAAGTTTCTACTTAAGAGGCAGTTTAATGTGAGAACAGCTAACCGAAGAATGTTTCCATTTCGGACTTTAACAAATCTTTGATCACTGGCAAAATATGGTTGCAGTGAAGATATTGAGCGAGGAACGTGGTAATGTAACACAGAAAAAGTTGGCGTAATTTATCGGTGTAAATGTCGCGGCAAGTATGACTCAAGGATTGGATCCAGTCTAAGCTCATTTATAATTTTGTATTGTACATTGTATTTTTGTCGGAATTATTCGAGTTTTATTCGCAGTTCCCATAACACTTTCTCGAGATACCGCTGGTTTTAGTGATTTACATTGTGTCACAAAAAATATTTGGCCATTGGAAAAAAGGTGCAAGTGAATGATTTATGATGATTTGCAGCCGGTTACAAGTACCGTCTTCACAAGTTCGATAAACAAGTAGTACCGTGTAAACTCATGAATTATTCAAAATGATTTACTAGATACTGTAAGCTCCGTGGAAATCAACGCACGCCTTGGTTTGGTCTGATAATTTCGCCTGATAATTTGCAATTCAAGTTCAATTGAGCGAAAGAGAGCATCTTATCGCATGGGATATGTTTATAGGAATATCAGTGTGAGAGATCAAACCGAGCTAATATCTGTGTTAAGTGCTATCCACGGAGCTTACAGTTATCAGTATTTCTCTAAATAAACAGATGTTATAATCCACAAAGCTCGTGCATAACACTCTAGTGCCTAATTGAATGTGTTGGAACCTAGTCACCCGGGACTGACTGGCGATTGTTACAAGGTCATTCGCCCTGATTGGTTGAGTTCATGATTGCGTGGATGGGTCACAGTGGTGAGGTGACAGTTACGGTCAGTGTGCCTGTGGTATTTGAATGACAGCATTGTCGTGGAGCGTGTGTATGTGCCACATGACTGTTAAGTACTGTCACAGTACGTGAGTTGGGTCACGTGAAGAATCAGCGAGTGTGGTCGATGGGTAGCAGGCTTGCATTCGTTCGATGATCCACCAGGATTAAGTGGTAACCATTTGGCTTTAAACTCTCTAATCTGAGCTGTCCTGGTAGTACTTCATTCGCAACGTTTTCATCTCTGGTTCCAACGCTCATCTTTGCAATAGTTTGTTTATATCCATTTACGCACTTTACCAGATGCCACTGGGACATGCTGACCGTCCACCGAGGTTGTAACTTAACAAAATGTTAAATCAATGAAGCCAGCGAAGTATTCCTTCGGTTTTATTTAGTTGATAACATGAGAAACTTAAAAAAGAAAAGACGCCACTCAGCCGTTTGTAGCTTACTTTTACTGACTCGTTCCGGAACTGAGCTGCACAAACAAATCGGTTGCTGACGTTTTTAGATTTCGTTGGATGCAACGCTGCATGGCAAAGTAGGTACCAGATACTGCGAGATTGTTCTTGAGAATCGTTTAGACGAGCAGCGTATTCATCAGAAAAATACTTGTCCATCGTCTTCCAGTTTAAAATTCGTATGCTTAGGTAAATGGCCCGCGAGGCTGTTTAGACACTACACGGCCGCTCAACGGTTGAAGGGAGGGTAATTAAGTCGTTCCTAAAGGATAGCAACCTCGAAGTTAGCATCATTGAATCTGAGAGGAACCCTTTATTAGCGATAATGTGGTTTTATCCTCTAAGGTATTTCCTCAGCTCTGCTTTCCCTTGGTTCAGTGAATTCATAACCTTCGGGATGTTGCATTTTTCCTGTGAATCTGAATCGTTTAGTGTCGAGGCATGACAAATGTTTGCTGACTAATGCGACGGTTGATCGATTAAACTACATCTTTATGTTGTTCTGAAAGTATGAGGTTCGAGATCCGTCCCATACACTATTCTAATACTCAATGGGCCGTTGGAACATTAGAATAAATTAACGTCTCTACTCGTTCAATAAAGAAATGGGAAAAGTGGATATTCGAAATGCTCCCAAAACTTCACTTCTTCGGTTATAGGCAGGACTCTTTTTATCGTCCAAACCCGTTGAATCAGGAAGTTCTATCCATTACAAGATCGGATTGAAAATGTTAGCAAAAATAAATGATTATCTACCTCTGATAGGGACACAAATAAAAGTGAGTTGATAATTCAGGTCAAATTGTGTGGTCCTAGTTGGCACAGTGATACCAAACCTCTTTCATAAACTGAATTCGGAGTTCAAAACCCGGATGGGACGGTTAAAACGCGTGACTGATAACATCTAAGGAAAGGGCAGCTTGAGTCTACTGCATCCCGAGTTTTTGTTAGACTAAAAAAACTGAGGATTGTGCACGAAGGTGAAGTTGGAAGGAAGAATAGTTCAAGTAAAGATTTATATATTTTACTTCTCTTGTCTATGATCCTGCTCTGCGAAACTGATCGATGTTTCCTCCATTTAGGTACTGATTAAATTTAGGTATTAATTTCATGACTCTCTTAGTACTGGAATCACAAATTGTCAGTTAGGGAGCCAAAACACAAACTGAGCTAATAGATCGCCAGCTAGCGCATTGGGTTAGAGACTGATTATAAAAGTTCCGAGCATAGTCCATGCTATATGACAAACATATAGATCTGTACACCTAGCTTACCGCTTATCTTCCGTTTTCGGTGTGCGTTATCGCCCCTACAGCCTCATATTACAACTTCAATGCACAGACTGTGTTATCGTTGAAACAGCATGAACTTAACTAAAATCTTGCGTTTTAGAGGCTGATTTGCGGATGTGCACTTCGGGAATATTTGTGTACTCTTCTTTGTACTCTACTCCATAAATTTTATCATGAGGACCAGCAGGTGGTAGGGAATGGGAAAGCCTTCATGGACCGTATTTTGGTAATAGCAGATCACATTTGAAGGGGGTTGACTGTGGACAGAATTAACAACAATTGCAATGGAAGTATGTACTCCGCAGACACATAAACATGTCATCATACTCGGACAGTCAGGTAATGATTGTTGTTTTTACAACCATTTCCTTCAAACCATTTGTTTAAATAACAACTAACGCTTATCAAAACGGGGGGGACTCTATTATAACAATCAATATTATCATCAAAAAAATTGTTCATCTGATCCTATGAACGGGGGGTTAGAATGCCATTCGCGAGGTCATGCGCGCACTTTATTGGTTTCTTATTCCCCCCTTGTTCTCTACAAACAATTTATACACACACAACAGCAAAAATATCTTTCTGGAGTAAGTATAACTGTTAGCAATTGGTTCTCTTTCCTGCTAGTATGTCTACTTGATCCCATATTCTTTTGATTCAGGTTTATCTTCAGGTGGAAAGGAATTTATTTCACTTTACACCCACGGATAATATTTTGTTCTCACAGAAGCTTAGTTAAATAATGACTGCAAAGTGGGGCGCATGATCGCACGTGCCATTAACCATTGTTCTTTAGTTGAAGTACCTATGGACATATGCGCATATTAAGAACCTATCATACGGGGGTGGAGGGGCATTTGGATTCACATGACCAGACACAAACAAGCACAAACAAAAATATGGAATCCAATCTAACATCCGATGAACATTACTTAATTGACAACATTGCCCAAACGGCTTATATAAATATTATCGTACTCTGATAGTACTACTCACTTGACGGTCAACCTTAACAGCACACTTTATCCGATTCACAAAATCATGTTTGTCAAAAATGAGTCTATGGTGCTCAGTTGGCCAGACTACATCTTGTATGTCGGTGTGCTCATTGTGTATGCCACATTTCGCGTGTTTGTTTATTCACAGCCGTTCATTCGACGTCGGTTAAAATGGTTCACCACGGATACTAGTCGTTGGTCACTGGACGAAAATGAGATGAACATGTTTGCCCGGGTCGAAGATAAGCAACCATCCGCTTCATTGGGAACAACCACTCTCTTACTGTTCATGATAGTGTACACCGTGGCCACAGAAACGTATGGCAATGGAACGCAATTATTCTATCTGATCATTGCTCATTTACTGGCATCCGCGTTCATGGCACACTTGTATATGCCATTATTCCACGAACTGGAAATAAATAATATTCACGAGGTTTGTCTATTCTTCATGGCCACCTTTTAATTATATCACACAAATTCTGATATACATTCATGTTGCTCAAATTTGTAAACTCACCTTGTCTTGTGAAGATTGCCGTACTTGAATAGAACGCTTTTCGAAAAACAGCTCTTTCTAGTCTATCTTATCGGGGTAAGTTGGTTCCATTACAGAGCACATAATTAAAAATCAATAACGGTGCATATCTGTCCTCATTTCAGTACCTGGAAGGTCGTTTCAACAGAGCCGTTCGCGTCTTGAGTGTATTTCCAGCATTTCTCCAATTGGTAAGTCACGAAAGACTGATAAACACATTTTATTGCACGAAACATTGTCCGATGATCTCGCTTTCCAAGTCTTAATCATTTCGTGGGCAACTGAATATAATTTAATCAGGTTATATGCCAGAGGGCATGTAACGGTACATCAATGGACTTGAATTGTAGAACTTATGCCCTAACTCATCACATATGAAATAGATTTTGAAAATAACGTGGCTAAACCTGATACGACCAATGCTTGATCATGTTCTCTTAAATGTGCTATCTGGGGCATTCGGTTTCAACTTTGGGAAATCTTGAATCAAATGGTGTGTTGTGTACTATGTATAAGTGAAAATATGAGGTACTTTTCACTTTTATCAAGCAATCATTGCAAAATTTTATTTTATTCGTAAATGCAGTAAATATACGAAAGAAGTATTGAATTCTGTCGATAAAAGGGATCAATTTATATGGCTAGAATACTCAATTAATGGAGAATGGGAATTGATATTTTCGAACTCCTCAACTACAGAATACTGTTCACCTAACCAAGTGCTTAAATTGATTATATGACTTGGATTAAACAAAACGAAGGCTCTTCGACGAGCGATATAACAAATACCGGTCGCCACGATGACCAGGTCGGAAAAGGACCAAATCTCACACCCGTTTTATCAAATCAGCTGATGATAACCACAAGGCGATTGATAGAGCCGTTATAATCGAATAAGATAAGAATGCTGATGCATCGGACCACTGGTAATTAGGCCCGGTGTTGGAGCTCTGGATCAATCAAAATAATGCTAGCGATACCCTCCTCCAAGGAAGATACCTTTTTCGGGTCTTCAACACAGATCATTGAATGTCAGTAGTGATTGTCTCTACACCAGTCTACACCAGTATACACAATCAAGTACCAGACTATTTGATGTAATGTAAATGATTTACTGAAGGTTCCCATTTGATTCATATAATCTCATATTTTTCATGCACGTATCATCCTACCGTAAATGAGCCCGTGTTCACTTGGGGCAAGGTAACCAACGTCACAATCGATGCTGATATGTGGATTGCAAAATGTCAGTTGTACTCCACCTCAAAAAATTATTGTGCCTCTAGGTATTCATGACTATATCATATAGTTTCACCACTCGTTTCTGAAAACTTATTTTTTACTATGCTATATGGGAGTATGTGCTTTATTTAATCCGTTGTTCGAAAAGATGCTGACTTGCCATGTTGTTTTACTTTCTAAGTCAGTTGTTCTCAAAGCAATGATGTCACCTGTTTTGAACCAGTAGCGCTCAAATATATAATGAAACCGTTCTTGTTGACCGTAACGTTCCAAATTAGTAAAATAGAAAACAACAAGGGCTTAAACGGCCAGATATATTGGACTTAGGTAAATACAAAAGATCCACGAAACAACTTAAAGATTACTGCTTACGAAATGTGCGGAAAATATTGTCTAATGCCTATAGCGGTCATCCGCCATAGCTGCCAAAAGAAAGAACATATTGGGATATTTGAGGTAAGGAACAAAAATGTTGCGGAATTCGAGCCCATTATTAAACTAAATAGCTGTTATTACCTATGTGTACCCCAGATGTGTATTGTTTTGTGTCCTAGTTGAGGCCGAAATCAGATCAACCATGCATGGTATAGCATCAAGGAATTCAATCGGAATCCTAAAAGGACATGTTTGAAAAACAGTCCTATGGGTGATGTCTTACTCAAAACAGAGGTGCACTCTCCCCGACATTTTCATAACTGGATTGTTTTTAAATGCATCTGTAGTCCTTATCAAATTGATCGGCAAGAAACGGGAATTCGAAGTTGATTGATTGAATGTACTTTGTCGCCTAATTTGAACTTCTATTTCGGGCAATATGCAAATCTGCAAATCCCGAAAGCTGAAAAGTGAGCTATCCGATTGAAGCGAAAAACTACCACTCCTTTTGTCTGATATATGAATCAATGCATCAAATCGACAAGTTTCTCAAAGTGCCAGAATAATAACCGTCTCTTGCATCCGACCTCGTTGAGCTAAATTTTTCGGAGCTTTAAGACCAACCACTAACCAACTGCCACAATCAATCATACTTATTATCAATCCTTTTGGTCTTAGACAAATTCTTTTAGCGATGGTTTATTTTTAGGTTCATTAAAGGATGTTTATCCGGTCACTATACCCTCTTTGAATTGGATATTTGAGCAGCACTCATTTTAGCTCTTCGCCAAAGCTAATTACTTATAAACCGGGAAAACATTCAACAGTCCCTTCTCTTTTGGTACCCCACAGTGGGCATTACTTGAGTATGCTTTTTGATGCAGGTCTACGATTTACAACGGCATTGATGAAACTGAATATCAACTCAGTCACTACCGGATCTTCGTTTCGACGTTAGGAATATCTCAACTAAACGCACGGTGATCAATATGGTAATTTTGCTCTGAACAGATTTATGGCACAGACACACATTGTGAGTAAAAGCTATCAGTCATCTGTGCGACTACCTCGGATTTTAAGTACGCGATTATGCCCCTTTGGTATCCAACCTACCGCATTACGTTTATATATTTTATTTATATTTTTTCATTTTTCCTGAACTAGTCATGCACCAGGTTACTTACATTTCTCGAAATAAGTAACTTCGTGTTTGATGACCAAAAAATACAACACTTTCTTCATTTATCGAAAACCATACCCTAAATGAGCCACTGAAGGAAAAACATAATTCAGACAGATTTTGAGGTAACTTGATACAGCAAGAAAATCACATTTTATTCTTATACAGCAGATAGTCAACAACGAAATTGTTGATTTCTGAACTTCGATAATACCGACAGTGACAGAAGATCTGCAACAAGGCTCACGTTGGTTCTTTCCCTGTGCCAAGAATTAATGCACTACTTGAGCACATTTCTTTACCAGTTTGAACCGGTAAACTGTTCCACAGTCTCTAAACACAATCCGTGAATGGTATGTCCAATTTTTGAACTTGATTGCAATAAGAAACTCATTCTGCATGCCCATGCTCGTTTCCCTCCTCTATCTCGCTCTCGACACGCGAAAACAAATTTGCGGTTGATTGTTTTGTTAAAATTCGTAAGTTGTGCGAGGAATGTTTCAGTAATGCTGGTCAGAAACAACTGACTGTCGTAAGGAATGGGTTCAAGCATGTGACAACTTGTACAGGAGTTCAAGTGTGCACTCAGGAAGGGTGAAAAATTGTGTGTTCTTTCATCTGTCGAAGAAAGAACTGGTAGTCTTTGGAGAACAATGTATTAATCAATTGAATTATCAAAGAACGTAGTTGTGGGTGCCAAGTTCTCGTATATAATATGCTCTATCTTGAGGTCGACAATATGAACAAAAATGCATTTTACATGCAGAGGATTAGGTTCATACAACACTGCCAGGGTAGGTGCAAAATCATAAAAATTACTCAACAGCGATGTCGTTCGTTTGCGATGATAATTATTACTGATCAGTCGCTCATCAACACTGGAACAATACAAGTCATCCACCAGTTCTTCCGCCTATTCATAAAATCGCGAAGGATTTTGTGATTGAATATGCTAGGCAATGGCCAAAATTTTGAGAGGCAACAAGTGGGTGTGCTGCGCGGATGAGGGTTATACGACAGGAAACTAGCAGATAGCTTTTTCCTGCGATATTCTTTATAGGCCTGTGTATAATACACGTGCAACGCCTTGTCCGACCGCAAATAGATTCTTTCATGTTGAAACCATGTTGAAAACGGCTTTACCGGTTAAAACATTGCTGTCAGTACTCAACTGAGAGTTCACGCGAAAGATTCTGATTATGGCATACGGGATAAAATGTAAGGTGTAAATTTGGGAAACCCGACTCAACCGTAGCTACCTTGTTGGGTTTCATCGGCCGTGATTCGATTCGATTGTGGATTAGAAACATAGATCTGATTAGTTCACGTTTGTTCAAAATGTCAAGAATGACCGAATAGACGCATTAAGATTCGTGAAAATAATGGCAAAGGACAATGTAGCTGAATAATGAATACCATGAGAATATTCAACTTGCTCGCCACACCTGGGTATTCTATATTGTATCTTCTCAGATCCTGTCATTTGATCGTAATCGTTGAAGATTAATAACACTGTAATAAATGATTTCAAGCAGTTTGTAGTATTTTACCGTAAATAGTTTAATTACAAGTTTACGTGAAATTTTCTCAAGACTAAGGAAACATTCTACTAAACCGGCTGCAGTATTCCAGACGGAGTTTGCCCGATTTTTGTTCATCAATGGGTATCCATTTTAGAGGCTTCCAATTATAATAAGGTTATGATTTTGATTTGATCAAGCATCACACGACTAACGGAAATAAAGGTCAAAATATCTCCTCGAAAACGTAGATCTCGTTATTCTCACACAAGGTCGGAATTTTCACACAGGTTTCAATCCAGCTGTTATCGCAACTGTATTGGGTTCATTGAAGGTCCGTAATATACACTCTTGGATCCCTTTGTCTTCAGCATCTACCGAGCTACCCGCCCCCCCCCGTTGTTATAAATTCCATGTGTTTGCACAGCTCTCTCTTGTGTTCCAAATAAGGGCGAGCGGCGTTTCATATTAACTGTTCTGTATGGTACTTGTCATGCCTAATAAAATCTACTTTGTCACCGACTGATCCAATACCATCCGCATTTATCTTTCAGTTATTCCAAATGGCCTTCATCTTATGTATTCCCTCGCTGACTTTGGCGCAATGTGAGTTCAGTTGGTGTGTTCTTGTGCTTCAATCTGGCTCTGACATTTGTTTACATGTGCGCTTTGGAATCGAAGTAAAAACATTTGTTAACGAAAATGAATGAACGGTGGGAGGCGTGTGAACTGATTTCGGAATGAAGTGCACAAATGCCAGCAGAGGAACACTTTGTCTTTTTAAAAGTTATCCAAGATGAGAAATGTTTTTGGCCATGTCAATAGTTTCATCCATAGATGACAGACAGACGGATGACAGACGGATTTACAAACTGAGACCACACAGGCTGAGCACTACACGATTTAGTTCGAATGTTGTGTGTACTTCTTGCACTGTTTGCATGGTCTTCAAATAAACTGACACAACCGTCGACCGAGACAATGAATTGCAATAGAGCTTTTTAGATGAAAACAGAAATTGGTTTATCCATTATCCACATATTGTTAGATTTGAGGCTAATTTTGCCAATGCTTGTGTTTGGATGTTTTCCCGCGGATTCTTACATTAAAAAGAAAATCACACGGGAATGATGAGTGACGGTGCTGTGCTCAGTCGAAACAGGTACTTCAGTAAAATATTCTGACAATTCTTTCTATTTTATTTAACCTTTGGTCGATAACCAAGTGGAAATACGGGATGTTATTAACTTGATCTCCTTTCTTACACAGATCCAAATAATAATAATGTAATTTGCACTTTCCAATGTTAGCCAACAGAGGGAGGCATTAAGTCCATGCTCATTCTGGTTTTACGTGTTCTGAATTGCATCAAAATCCAACAGAATATGCTTTAACATTTATAAACGATAAATGATACACTTACATTATTGGGAAGAGATATATTACTGGGTTGAACCACCTAACTATTCAGAATTATCAATGCTTTTGAAAATCCCGGCGCAGAATGCAAAGAATAATGGAAATCCATATTCTGTTATTACTAGGTATAAACGTATGCCTTTTATTGTCGTGCCTTATCAAAACTAAATTTACTCAATCCTTCCCTCATTAAAAATCTTCCCAGTGACCGCATACCCATTGTGGTTGGCAGTAGTTCTCACCGGATTCATGGCCGCATCGTACAGTGGAGCTGTAAGTTATACTTTCGTTTAAACTAAATAATCGTACGATTTACACAAAAGTATGTTGCAGATTTTGATTTCTATGAAAATAATCGCTGAGTATCATCATGACACAAAGCATCTTCGTTTTGTAAAGAGTCAAACCCATGAAATAAAATTTAATCAGTCGGTCTAGCGTGATAATGCTGTATCAGCCAGAATCATTTACCAATGACCAGACACAATGTGCGATTTTGTGTTCTAAGATTTGTGTTGTACTCACTGGAATTTTTTCTATCCGACCACAATGAAAACATTTGTTTGGTATTACCTTGGTATAATTGACAAGCAGCATAATGAAGGTTTACCGGTCTTAGATTCTGCCCGACAGGTTCGCTGTTCGATTGCCCTCGTGGACATAGACAGCTCACACTACTGCTACAGTAAGGAGGTAGCTGCCTAGTGTTCTGTGTCATTCAGTTCAAATAGTGTATAAGCAGAGGTTCTTCGTCAGTGATATATTTTTATATAATTTTATGTACTTCTTCTGCCAAAGTATTTTGTATTTAATCCGGAAATCAAACGCAAAAATTAATTGTGTATTCATGGTCTATCTTTTTCCCTGTAAAGAGTTGCTTTCGACTTGCTTTGTGGGCTAATGTTACACAAGTTATACTCGGCATGATTGGCCCCATGTTGGTCCTGATTTTTGGAGTCAAGCACGTGGGCGGAAGTGGCACTATGTGGGACAAAATCAAACAAGGTGGCTTGGTGAACTTTGACAAGTGAGTGAAAAACGGAAAATAGTTTGTTTTAAAATAAGCTACTTAGCACTATGCTATTTTTCAGTCAAACTGTTAATTCTTACTTTGTAATGTTACACCCAAGATTACTAGTTCAATTGAAGGGCAACTGTTTATGTTGTTTTCAACAACAAACCCCACACTTATGCGTATACAGTACATAATGTATATAAAGTTGTTCAAATTAAGCCAAAGATTACATTTTAATAGAAGGGTTGTTCTGTTGTTTTGGGAGCACAAGAAGGAACGGGTAGGCAATTTGAATATTCTAAACTCTGAGTTCCACTGGTATAACTGCCGTTGAGAGTGATTCGTCATCCATTTTGATGCTTGTGGATGAATCAGGACTACACACAGACTATTAAAAGGAGCTTAAAAACGTTTACTAACCAGCAAGTTTACTGCTCGAATTGCCTAGTCAAGATGTTATCGATCTGCGCTGAGTCAATAAACAACTACCAGTAAAATACTGCCCCCACAGACCGGATTTTCACACTTCGAAGGTATTTGATTATGTAGCGAGTGACTGGCCTTCATCGACGGTGAATAACCAATGAGAATACGTACTTGAGGAAAGAAAAGTTTGAAAACGCTACCCATTACAAAGAATAATATAAAAAGTCGCCTTGGAATTTTTGTTTATGCCAATTCAACCTGTGATGTGTTTAGTGAAAGTAAATGTTTACTGCCCTGAAAATAATAACACATTCAATATTTTTACTGTTCGAACTCGTTGACAAAGGTAAAATTAACTTTTTACCAAAACATCCGTTACAAAGAAATCACACCATTTTGTATTTGCTTCCTTTGTTTTTCTATCGCTGTTACAGCTTCAATGGGAGTCCGTTCACAGAATACAGTTTCTTCACGGTAGTGGTTGGTGGTCTGGGTGTCTTGCTTAGCATTCTGGCCATAAACCCCATTGAAATCGAACAGTATTCCAGTACCATTTATCAGAAAAATGCAAAAATGTGAGTGTTTTTTAATCCTTGATACATTTTATTTTGTGATTTTATTATTGCCCTTCTTAACAATACTCAGCAGGCCAGTTAGAAAAGCTTGCATGCAGCGTGAACTCCATGGCTGCAATATGGAACTTTGACTGTTGACTCAACAGAACGGTATACAAAGGTTATTACGAGCATTTTAAAAAGCAGAAAATGGAATTACGGTGAATAGTTTATCATACTACGTTACCTCGGTCTTCGTGTCATCAAATCATGACACTACATCATAATACAAACGATTCCTTACACAAACATGATTCGAATATAGTGAGCTCGACAGTTTGGCTTGTTTAGGAATCGGTATGTGATTGCATTTTTAACCGCTACGTCGCATATTCCGACCAAGCTTGTGGTCGGTGAAATCCATCATAGTGACAACGCTTAAATAAGCAGCGCTAGAGCCCGCGTTGGTGCACATTCAGTTCTTCAGTCTAGATTTTAAGCACATGCAGAGGGAGACCGGCATGAACGTGATCTGCAATATACACAATAGCAGTGAAAGTGAATTCGCAGGGACTAAGTTGACCACTGATTATTCACTTTGGGGAACAACCATTTGTCTTGATTTGAAATCAAATGATAGAATAATGAATGGCGTCCTTAATCAACTGATTTCCACTAGCCTGCATCCGGAACAGATTTTAGCTTCACTGATTTAGAAATTTCCATGGATAACTGGCGGCAAGCCTTGATGTAAAAATCAACTGGATAAAAAATTTCAAGGCAATCCACTGTTCAGTTGATACGGAGATCACCCTTCCCGCCAACGTCCTAGAACCAACCGCCGTTGCAGTTGACTGTCTGGGGATTCCGAAATATAGTGAATTTTGGACCTATTCGTAGGCAGTGATAGATAGCTTTCCAACTCTATCGGGAGTGTGAAGTAGCATGGTATCTTACAGCTTAGCACAGATCCATAAGGGTCGAAATGGAAGCTAAGTGTTTCCTCCGTGTTGCTTGTTCATCCTTATTCACTCCTTGCATGACGGTTGCAGTGCCATGACTTCTGCTACCGCGTATGCTGAAATTTAGCTGCGGGGGGCATTCACTGAACGCCAAATGTATTGCGTGACGAGAATCTACGGGAAGTCGTTTTCGTAAAACAATTACATACTCAAACAATCATTTTCATTCTCTTTCGATTTCGAAATTTATCATTCAGAAGAATCTAAACGCAATTTATTGCCAGACTGAACGTTTTATTCTGTGACTCCTAAATGGATGCCAGAAGACAATAAGCACAATCAGACTATGGTTGTTTACTTATATGCTTTGGATTTTGTGAGTACAGATAACATACATTTTACTTGAATGATTGGGTTCAGAGTGATTTTCAAGATTGAAAACTTTGGGAACGCCCAGTGACTACCGCTAGGTACCGTTAGGGAAAAACTCGTCGGTGAAAAGGTGTTTTGTATGCAGTTTGAAAACACTCGCACTTGCGCTTCCCGATGCAAAATGACCGTTATTTAATTAGGCTCCACAAACTGCAGATGACTTGTAGGAGTTTAAATGAATTTATTATTGCTTGAGTTATAATCTAAGTAGTATAGAGTTCATTTTGATTGTGACTCCGTAAAACAAGCAAGGTGGCAGCGGTTCATAACATCCACTATCTCATTTAATTTGGATGCAAGTGATTCATGGAACTCATTACTACGGTCTATTAAACATAGAATTTTGCAAATCCCCTCCTCTCCCCATACCAATGCATTCTCACTGCTTCAGTGGGATTTATACACGGTCATTCATCACATGGATTTTCTACCTCATTCTGTGCATCTGTGGATTTGTCGGTTACAACGCGCTGTTCGGATGCAACCCACTTCGGGTAGAATTGACGAGCCATCTGGATCAAATGCTAGCCATAACCACTGTTATCCTCGGTACAAATGCGGTTGCACTGAAAGGATTTCTTCTCGGCGTTCTAACCACTGTTTCGTTCAGGTGAGTGGGATTGGATCGTGTTCAATTTTCTATCAACATAGTGATTAATCCGTTCGCTGTCAGCATAGATTGCCGTTTTGAAAATTGCTTTGGTATTCGTGACAATGTTTATGTATGTAGGACATATTTCTCTTTTCTTGGTCTTGGTCGATCAAATTGTGCCTGGCTAAGACCTTTGACATCATCAGTGCGTTTTTACAAGCTGATCCATGGTTGTCGATGTTTAGTTGCACGAACACCAGTTATCAAACGAGCAACTGACCGAATGATCATATCAAATCAGTATGTGTAAACTCATCAAAGGTGTACTGTGTAGAGGGTTTCATCAAAGATTTCAATAGTTCCACTGTTGCGAATTGATAAAACCTCAAGTCCTTAAGAAGAACGGAGCAGAGCCACCAATAGAGCCTTTTATGTACCGATTCCCAACGGAGCTTATTGTAAATACGTCCCATACATATACCAATTTTGGTTTACTCGTGTCATTGTTAACAGTCAACTGTCAACACTCTGCCCCCCCCCTCCTTCTTTTACGCATAAAAAATAACCGCAATTGGTCTGACTGGATAAATATGTTGAACTTCCCAATAAGTCATGTAGAGCTAGTTCACAGGGCACTGGGTTGCCGCTTAAACTTAAGGAAATGAGAGACGTTATGTTTAAGAAACAAAAGTAGTACGGAAACAAATTTGACGTGAGGTGTTCATATTTTTTATTCAGGGATCCAAAAAAGAACCCTGACACAGCAAATCGGACGAAACAATGATACGAAAACACTTGCTTTCGTCCTCGTCATCAGAATATGCGCGAAAATCGTGGAAAAAGCCCGATTCAAAATTAATAGGTGGCTTTAAAAATGCAAAAAATTATAATTTATAAATTATGTAAAATTGGCCAGACTAGTTTTTGTGTGCCAAAAGACACCCCAGTTTAGGTAAACCAAATAAATTTAATGCATTCTTGGGTTCCGAGTTCATATAGCAATGTATCGATTTATCGAATGAAAGAAAGCCGTTCTCGCAGGGTTCATTTACTCAAAATTCACGCGGACAACTAATATCGAGATAGACAGGTCTATTCAGGATCGGCTCAAATCACTTTCTGTTCAATATGCACCTAATCTGTTTGAAACGGAGCCCAAAGTTTTTCCTCTGATTTATTCATGTTTAAAGACTATAGAATAAACGGAGCTAATCCTGCCTGAAGCCGTGGCCTATCTGCAAAAAACAACCGTTGGTTATTTTTCAGATAGGCGATACCCTTAATGTATCGAGTTAGTCCCCTTACCTGTCTATCAGAAGTGCAGCAGAGGAAATCAATATTGTTCCTGACGGTGATTCACTGTAAGCTTGGGATAGTCATGAACCTAAATTGTACTGCAACAGAAAGAAAAACGTGTCGTCAAGGGATGACCAATATTTGCATTCTTTTTAAACTTGACTGAACAAAGTAGTTCTCACATTTCTGCCTATACAACCGTTGCCAACGCACGTTCAACGTTTGCAACCCTCAGGATGCACCAGTGAAACGCATGACATCATGCGCATTTCTCACTTGTGTATTCGAGTGTAAAAGCTGTTAAGATCAAACTTCTTGTCTTTGACTTGCTTGCTGCTTCAAGACCATGACTTGTTTAGGGATGCTGATCCAATTATGCTTTTTCTTGTTCCCTCACTCTTTTTGATCACATGCACTATTTCACCCTTGTTTTGTAGCGCTCTTACTACGCTGGCAAATTCTGCCGGAACCATGCTAGCGCGTGATGTGATCGCGAGCACGGTCAAACTGAACGTGTCCCGATACACACCCGGTGGACTGAGTCGGTGGATAGGTACGTTTGTCGTAAAGTTCGAATTAATCTGTTCTCTCATTGGACACGACTAAAACAAAGGTAATAACGTAAACTCATTTCTATAGTTAGTTTGAACACAAAAAGATCGTTGGTTGGGTAGGTGCTCATCCAGAGGTTATTCAGTTGAAGTGGATCGGGAAATTAATCGACAATCCACATTCACCATTCGTGTTAGCCTAGCAACCAGCTGAGCTTCAAAAGAGATGAACTCTGTTGCCAAATGAGAAAGTGATAAATCTAATGATGTAGATATTTGGTTTATTTTATATTGAACCTATCAACATTTTGATTCACACGCGGATTCACATTGCCTTTAACTAATTGTAAATTTACGTATGCTTTTCAACTTACGGGACACAATTTCAGTAGTATATATTGCATGATATTATGATCCAGTGGTTCAATATGGTTTTACAGGCTGAGTTCAGAGCTTCAAACCCCAACTGTTGATGGAGTACCATAGAAAGAGTTATTATTACCTTGAATAGTATCGCGATGTGTACTCATTGCAATAATTAGAAGGTTAATAAAAAATGCTATCTTTTATCCGTTGTACTTGTGTTTGTAATAAGATGGTCAAAGTGGATTCCCATTACAATCGCGTTCCAAACAAGATTTGAACTCTGTATTTATGTGCAAACTGGAAGCTGTTTGCGGAGCGTCAACATATCTGGCCAAATTTCTCGACAAATTTCATGGATGATACGGACGCCGGTTCTCTCCATCAAACTATCCAGTTTAGTACTAATTTTTGGATATCGATAGTAATTTATGGTATCTTTTCTTTTTTTCGACCCTCTCTCCCGGTGCTCAATCCGCGCACATCTTCTCCAACCGATTTAGCCTTTGCACTCTGCTTGCTGTGCATCCCAATCGCGTTTGGCTTACTAATGATTCCAACCAGTCTTTTCCGATCCAGTGTGACATTTGCCGGTGTATTCGGTGGCCCACTTTTCACCGTTGTCTGTTTGGGTATGTTTTTACCCTGGATCAGTAACTTGGTAAGTTGAAATGCATGCAGCAAAGGAAAATGAAAGAATTACAGGTCTACGTTTTTACGTGGTTTTCCAGATCCTGTCATGATAAAAGTAATTACTTTCTTACATTCTATTGACCAAACAGATAATGAAATAAAGTGTGCCCAAGAAAATTATTGGAATTGCTTAAAAGTAAACAACACTTTAAGCTCCAGGTCATTAGAGCAGTAAAACGTTATTTTTTAATCGGACGTGGACAATTGTGCTGCACCAAATATTTCATAAACAATAAAACCAAGACAACCTTTATCTAGAAGGACGCTCTATTAACCTGGTGTTTAATTTAGAGGTTGATTTTCATCAGCTTCTGTATAACCAAAACCCAGAAAATTAACGTCAGTATTACGTTCCTTATATCATCTTTCTATCGAGACAGCTACTAGAAGCTGCGCATATTTTCGGATACCAAATCGCCTAATTCTGATTGGACTATATAAAGCAAAATTGCAATAAAGTCGAAGAATGTCTCGAAATGAATTCCTTTTGCTCAATTTTAAAAATCAATTCATTTTTAACAACTCATTGCCACTGCTTGACGTCCTAAGCTACATTGTGAACAACAACTTCGTTGTAAATCACTTCATTCACTTACTGGTATTACTATTTCAAATTTGTCCAATTCATCTTTCATTTTATATCTACCTGCTGTATTATTTCAAGGGTGCCGTCTGCGGTCTACTGGTGAGTCAGGTGTGCGGACTCGGGCTTTTAGGACTCAAACTCTACGCATACACAGCTCCCGGACGCGAAACAGTCTACTACGAAAGCATAGATACCTGTGAAGCCATTTTCCCAATCCACATTAACCCAGAGAACATTACCCTTATACCGCAGGATGATCAGATGGCATTCCTCGACTTCTCATTCATGTACATTCCGGCAGTTTGCTTCTTCATCGGCCTCATATTCGCATTGTTGATGAGCATTCCCTCGCGTGAGTTCTCCGCACTGGGTACCTACCAGGTTTAGAACATATCTATTTTCACGGAGTTTTAAATGTAAATGACAGAACAGACGACCGAGTAATCAGAATGTGTCGAACACCTTCCACATTATGGATGTGTAGTACCTAGTTTAACTAAATAGTGGCTACTTCGTGCAAAAACGAGGTAAAATCGAGCCATTACGACAGTGTGGACAAAATTTAGAAACACACTCACAGAAGTTTCAGTTATCGAAATTAATATTACATTTTGGTTTTGACCAATCAGCGTAGCTGATCGAATCCCTCTACAGTAATCAAAAACTATCTCCTGGAGTGGTTCTTTCAGAATACACAACAGTAGGTTAGCCGAAAGATGTCCACAGAACATATCAAAAATAGAACACACAACGGTAAACAGGCTAGCGTTTAGTTATTCTTAATAATCCCAATGCATCAAAATACTACCTAACAGTAATCAAACGCAATCGTTTCGGAGAGGGACAGTTTACAGCATGGATCATTTGAGATCACATATGGGACTCACAATGATCTTATAAACTCATTTGTTTAAACACTTTCACGGAATATGTTATGAAAAAAGTGGTAAACGGGCTCTTAATAAATTTCGGTCTCCATATTCAAAGTGAGGCCGCATAGGGTGCAAACGGTTGACCGCAACGTTCTGCAAATTTTGTCGCCGATCTTTCGCGGAACAAAAGCGTGGGCTACTTCTGTGTGTGCATTCGAATCGAGACTACTGACTTTTTCAGTATTCCAATATAGAGAATAATTATAATACTGTTTGTTGTCATCCCCATCGATGAGATCAATCGAGATATGGAGAGGAGGGGGCATAGAAGCTTAAGCATCTGCACAAATGTTTGTGTGTTTCACAGACGGAGGGGCTTTGTACGGATGAACTCCTATCAGTTCCACTATGGTATAAGTATCTCCTAAAGAAGCTTGCCCTGATAGTTGACCGCGAGCCATATACAGGTAGTGAAACGGCTCGGTGTGAGTCACAATGTGGTGCTTATAAACTGGGTATGAAACCACTGCACGACTGAGTTTTTATATTCGGTTATAATCGCTGATTCATTCGAATAAACATCTGACTATGTGGCCTATATGGTGATGATGCAATGGTTTAGTAGCTGTTGCCGGCTTGGTTTTAACCCCACGAGCACTGCTCAACTTTGGTGGTAGACAGCTTTACTGTCGTCCGGCTCAATACCACGCCTATCGTGGTGGAGCCTTCTGTGGTTCTCCACGCCAAGTCCTAGGGCCTACTTTGCCGGTGTCCATCAGTGAATAGAAAGTCTAGGTGACTATGATTCGATCCATTTGCTAAACATCACACGCAAAATGTGTGTAATAAAAAATGTTGCTCCACAGGTAAAAGTAACTGAAAAAATGGGACAGTAGAATCAGGTATTTTGTTCATCAGTTGTAGATACAATTGTTTAGGTAGTGAAAAAAGCACTGAGATTTGCTACGCGCAAGGTCTCACGAACACCAACGGATGGTCTCCTCTGTATTATCGCTGATAATAATAATCAATAATCGGATGTGAGCATTCAGTAGCCTAAAACAACTGAGCATCAGTAGTTGTATATAAATATATGTATATATATTGATGTATTAGCATAATTACAAATCACTGAGGACGAGCGTGTTTACCACTATGTGTTCTATTACCAGTAGACTAAAGAGGTAACAGAACTTGATATAATTCACTCCGAATCGGTTCGCACTGTCTCAACGAGTGCATTTCAAGAAGTTATAAACTTTGAAAATACTACTTTGTGTTTTAGTTTCACAGTCATGTTTGATATTAGTGAAAATTTCGTTTCATTGTTCAAAAAGTCACAATTTGACGAATCCAACCCCATGTATGTGGGCAACGAAATCCAACATGTTTACGCCAGAGGGTGTTTAGGTAATAGGACCAGTCTTCGGTATAGCCTAACCCATTTCCATTGGTGTCATGAAAGTACACACGTCTTAATAACTTAGTGCTAAGTCTGCTATAACTTGACCTTGCCGCGTAGGTAATGGAATGCGGAGCAGCTCAATAAGACTTCAACAAGACGACAAGGGTTAGATAAATAAACTCTCCTCTGCATTTCTGTAACGTGTGCATACATGTCACTTGCGACTGTTCATCGTTCCTCTGCTGTTTTTGGAGGTTCCTGTTTTAAACGTCACATGCGACCAGTACTAAACAGGTGTGCATGCCATATCTACAATCAAACTTTCACTTAAGATCCATCTGTTTTGTTGAATGTGATTGGATCCCTCTGCTCTGGTTGGTTGCACTCTTATAGGCGACTACACTTTTTCTCAAAATAATCAACAACGTCCTAGATATTTGAGCGGGCCAGATGAGTTGTGAATCCAAACAAAATGGGAGCCGCAATGATGAACTAAGTAACTGAACCTATATGTATTGCCCAAATGGAAAATTAACTAATAAAAAACATTTTCTATAGAGAATAAAATCTCAATTTGTTTGTCTGCTCTTCTTCATGTTTGTCTAACCCGACGATTCGCATTCCAANTCTCATCCTGCATTTTTAGAGTTCAATGCAAACAAGATCATCGATGAACAGTATTTCGCCTGGCCATCACGAAGACTATTCAAACTGGGCGGTTCAAGCAATTCAAACTTGGTCTCTGATTCGCATGTAAGTTAATCCCACTATTCACCGAATTTTGTGTCTACTTCCTAAGTATGCATCCAGGCTGTAAGAGTTTAGTTGCAACACTTCCTCCGATGAGACATACGAAGCAATTTCACAGGTGCCTAACAAATTCATACTACATACAAAGTAAGTATGAAAAGTTAATGTCTTTTACAGAATAGGCCTCTTTTATGAAAGAGAAAAGAAAAGTCAACTTTTCTTACCGGCGACGAAATTATCAGATGCAAAAAGAGGAGAAAAATAATAACAAATTAAAGTTCACTGGTAGAAGAAACTTCAATTAAGGTATGCATTACTTGCGGCCGAAGACTATTAACGAATAGAATAAATGCTTCAATTGAATGAAATGAGGACGGATAATTTGCTTAAACGATTAGTTTTTCGAGAACTTATCGGCTGGTCACATCTTACTTCAGGTATGGATAACATGGAGTACTTGTTGTGCTTTCATACTAGCCTGCAAACCACGGCACGAGAACACGCTCTGGGATGTAAACAAAGTTGTTGGTGTTTTCTCTGTCTGTCTGTAGGAAGAAAGCGTGTTCACGGGTGACCTTTCAACCAATCGAAGGTCACAGTGTTGGGGTTGGAGCGAAAGGTTCACGGGCTAGAACTTGCTCCCCATCGCGAGACTAAAGCACTTCGGTTATCGGGTTGAGAATGGTTTGCACGGGAAACTAATGTGCACTCAAGATAGTCATAATATGTTGGGTAACCGCTTTGGCGCACAAACACGGGTTGAATATAAACAGCTGAATGCCAGTCGCCTCCGCAGTGGTTATAGTTTGGGGAGGGGAACGTTTTGCTGGGTCGGCACGTACAATACACGAAAATTCCCAAATCGGTCATTGATTGCATTCTTGCCAGGAAAAGTTTGGGATCGACAACTCAAACACTGAAGAAACTACTCGTCGGCACAGTGATACAAGTAACTTTGAAACAAATATCTTTTTCAATTTTTGATTTGGTGCTTGTAATTGAATCACAAATACCGACTTCATGAGGTTTTGATTGGTAGGATATACCAAATGGTAGATAACATCATCATATAATATATATATAATAAGTAGTATAAGTATGACTTGAAAAACTTCCCCAGGAAGCACACGACCGGTTTTGCGGTTCTTGCCTCTAGTCAGGCATGCGTATCCGGATACAGTCAGGGATTTCATTGATGATTTGAGGGAACTTAATGTTCCATTTAGTGACACTCTGGATAATAATATCCCTGATTTGCCCTGAATAAGTTCAATTTGTGTCAGTGCTCGTATATAGCCACGTAACCTTTCACCATATACACGTCGGAAGGCAATCCACTGTTCTGCACTTCATTATGATAGATGTATAACACATTGCACTGTTCTTCTCTAACCCCTTTTTACTCAGGATGAAAAGTTCAAAGAAAAGGATTCCAACGATCCAGCTTGGAGTGCATCCACACTGCATCGAGCACCGTCGACTTTGTCGCGTTGGGACTGATTTACGATTATTTTTGCTCACAAATATAATCACTTCGCAAAATTATGATAATCTTTTATGTTACCTCCGTTGCATTCCATCACATATGACTAACACGACTTCGGTTGTTCTGTTCCCCTAACCCCCCTTCACCCCAATCAAAAGTATCTTTATTTCTATGAGTGGAATTTATACACATTTTTGAACTATCCATAAATTGATTTGGTCAATGAAATGCATGATGAGAAAGATCCAAATCAAAGTTGTTCAAAGTGAATCGAGCGGACAGAGATACTCAATGGCGTTCCTTATCTGAGTTGTGCGAATGAGATTTTCTCAGGCATTTCTTGATGATAAGATTCACTTTTTGATACACACTTTCCATTTTGTTGCACAAATACGGGTAGCTGTTAGGGTGTTGCAAGTCAAAACTTGGGAGAACCATACAATGCTATACTGACGTTGACTACCTAATACGAACGTGTAATAAGTTTCATCGAATAGATCAGCGAAAAATGAGAGTTACCAAACCTAATCATTTCCTTTATTTTGGTTGGTCTCTACGTGAGACAACTCACCAACACACAAAAACATTGAAAGAGCTGTCTATCCAAATGTCCCCCGGTGATGCAAACAAGGTTATTGTGTCGAAAGTATACTTACCGGATACGCATGCCTGACTAGCGGCAAGGACCGCGAAACCGGTCATGGGATTCCAGGGAAGTTTCGTCCAGTTATTCACATACTACTTACTATGAAATATATATATATATATATATATTTATATTCATGTTGGGCAATCATTGTGTAACAGCCGATGGAATTTGTAACAACAAAACGGTCAGCGTAAGAGCAAAAGTGAGAGAGAGAAACTGAGAGAGAAACATTTGTCACCGAATCAAGCCGTATCTGCATCAGGTTGCCTTTTAAACCGAATCCTGGCAAACAAGGCATTATGTGGACCCACGGTTTCAGAAATTATTTATATAACAATAGTTGAAGGCAAATTAAGTAAATATTGTATGTATAGATGCATATATATGAATGTACATAGATCGATTTCGTAATCGACGGAGCCAAATATCTTCGTTCTCATGGTAAATGATTTCATCGTGAGCTGAAAATGTATCCATTTAAGTAACGTAAGTCACAGCACCTGCAGGTTAACTGGGGAACCCATACTTATACGTTTGTTCGATAGAATTTTTGGGGTTGTCTTGGGTCCTTTGTACTGAGCGCGGCACCTCCGTCTGGCAAGTGAGCTTTATAGTCGAGTTGTCCTGAAGTATTTCATGAAGATTCACAATAATCAATTTGTATGTATGTGTGGAAAATGCCAAATTATTTATGATATGAAGCTGAAAGCAAATGGCGACCAAAATGCAATCGACGATTCCATTGATATTTAGTTTAGGGTCATAGATTAATTATTGGTAAAAAACAGTATTACATCACGGTTGCATTGGATTATACCAGAATGAAATGCTCCTTATAGTAATGAGCTGATCAATACACACCAATGTCTTTGAGTGAGTCCATGAATAGCTACTCAGTGGGAATCCTCCGAGATCATCTTCAGTTGTGATCATTCAACTTGATCCATTTACCATAAGATTGTCTTTGTATACTTATTTTTTCAACTTCAACTGAAACCAATGTAACTTAAGGTGAATCCTACCAATCGCATTCTATTAGGGAACCCACAAAGTAATTGGTGTTTTAGTCGTCACACGCCACCCATTGGACCGGGTCTATGAAAATCCCGTCCATTCGAAATGAACCGATTTCTCCATAGGCAAACAGAAGTACATCTTTCATTAGATCGAGAACAAGCATCAGCACACAACAGCTTGAATTATACTGTACATCGTGATGGAGTTACCGAGCGACGGTGAAGGTTTCAGTGGGCTGTTATTCGACTGGTCAATACCACCCTACCGGCCCCATCCCCAACAACAAGCTCCAGGGGACGCCCTTGACGCCCTTGATCGTTGATCGAGGGAACCCGAGACGAGAGTAAACAAACCTGGTCGTAATTGACCTCGGTCGGCCGTGTAATGAAGCAAATCGCGTCAAGATAGATCGATAAATCAGTCTCTATTCTCAGGCGTGAATTTTAAAATGAATCATTGCGTGAATGGGTTGAGTCTAGGCCCTCGTTAGCTCAGTGAGTCAATTCCAATGAGAACGAGGTTCTCACTTATAACCTCGATTCCTTTCAACCAAATGCAATTCTGGTATTAAAAGGCATGCTTGACAAGACACTTAACAGTGGAACAACAATGGTATAAAATGATACGGTGAAAGACTTGACAGTATTCCACCCGAATATCAGGATCTGATTTGAACACACTCACTAGTTAACAATAGTTACATCTTTTCTATGTAACTCCTGGTATGACTATTGCATTCTACTCGTAATGTCAATGGCAAAAACCTGCCAATTGCAGCTGTGCCGTATAGCTTCTTTTTCTTTTTGCATCATTCACTTTCCTTGTGGCATCTTTACGCAACCGGATTACATATGTATGCTTCTTATAATTCAGTGAGCGAGGCAGATAGTGATGATAACTCACAATTATCCATTATTCTACGGACGATGTTCATTCAGAACGGGGTGCTCCAAGGGATATTAGGTAGAAGCAAATAAAGTATTCAACCCACGGCCGTAGTACTATTGATCAAAGACTTTCTCCTACTCAAGAAATATGTTACAAAGTGGCATCTGCGGTGCCACCATACCTTTTCTCTCATCTGCTTTGGCGCCGTGACTCAGTTAAAGCCTGAATGGATAAAATCTTTCAATGTACATAAACAACGCAAAAGACATTGTTGGTAATGTTGTGTTTGTCATAAATTTTATCACCCAAAGGCTTTAAAGTAGTGCACGAATTTCACCCAGGAGAAAGCGTAAAAGTTGAAAAAGATACAGTAGCGGCAACCTCAGGTTTCCTGTTTACAGGCTTTGTGTTAGTAGGTAATTACTTTATACAAAGCTACCGAAAAGTAGCTATACTATGTAAATTCTCGAAACTACTGACAATCCAAATGGTACTGCCGTTTCAACTCAAGAATAAATAAGTGGGCAGAATTGCTTTTGACCATGAATTTAACGTACCCTCGATCAGCTGTAAACGCATTTTTATACGATTATTTGGAGTATTGAGTTCTCTTTATCCATTTGATCAATACAGAAAGAAGACAAATGTCGCGAGATGTTACCATTTCGTTTATTATTCTCAGTCGCTGACTTAAAACAAACAAGAACATTTATAGTACATGGGATTAATCAATTATGGCGAACGAACGGGTACAAGCATAGAAAGATTACTAAACTTAGAAATAGAGGGTCAACTCCATGGTAAGTGGATTAATTGTATCAAAAACTTTTGTGCGCACAAGGTCAGGTGATTTAATCGAATAAACAGTGCTTCATTAATTGAAAAACGGTTAGCATTGCGATTACGTAATAGTGATTTGAAAGACGAATTCGGGTCAACTGTATGTCCTGTTTCCATGACATGTTGTGCAACAGATGACCCTGGACTTCTTGTAATCACTTGGCCTTCAGTTATCGGCTGCGTAATCGAACTCACCAACCACTGTGGAATATGTTCAGTTATCCGTTGTGAGAATTGACGGTTGGTGCTGCGTGTATGCGTTACCGCAACTGCAGGTGAACTGGTATATATTGTGTGAGACGGACCCGGTTAGCCAGTCATGTTTACGTTTGTCCAAATCAATTCCAAGAGTGGAGGCAACGAGTCTGAGTTGAGCAGCTAGGAATGTGGGGTCTACAGCTAACTTCAAATTCTGGCGCACATCATTGTAAACGTGGTCACCTTTGAACGCAAGCTTGATGTAGATGGCTTTTTTCTTGACGTTTTGGGTTGGATTACCTTTTGGGAATGGTTTACTGTGAATATCTATAAACCTTTCTGGGTAACCATTGTTTAGCAATGTTCTCCTTAGGAAATCTTCTTCTTCCTTTAGTATATCTGGAGAACAAATGTTTCTCGCTCGATGAAATAAAGTTCTCACAAGCCCACTCTTGTAAGTGATGGGGGAAAGCTGGAAAAGTGTAGGTAATGACCGTTCCATGTCGCTTTTCGGCAGACTGGGCGTTTTAGTGCCAGGTTTATCCACCTCGTAACTTTTAGGTCTATAAAAGCAAGTGTTGTTGGCTTCCGTTTCATGATATACATTGCGGTGTGGATGGACTGCGTTAAACTGTTGTGAAAGTCAAACAATATTAGAGAACAAGCTTGTTTTTGTAACTTACCATTGTTCTTAATCATCCCTGGGCTGACTATTACATTCAATCCACAATCCCAATGGCAATAATCTGTCACGTGCAGCTTCTTCCTTCGTTAATCAACTTCATCGCATAAGTTCTTCACCCTATTGTATCATTGATCAACCCATCGCGTCTTTTCACGTCTTGATTGCATCCGTTCGATCCCGATAGTGAATAAAGCAGGTGGTATTAAGAATGATTTACAGTTATCCATGATCCCACAAACGAAGACAACTCCGTACTGGGTGCTCATGGGGTATGAAGTTGAGATCGGTAAAGTATTCTACCCACGGTTACCTTACTATTGATCTACGATTTCCTTTAACGGGAGGAAAAGTTGTCTCCACGGACAAACTCATGAAGAATCCGGAAAATGTATTACGAAGTTTCATCCGAGATGAGAGAAAAGATTAGCTGGCAATGTGGATGCTACTTTGTAGCATGTTACCCGGATGAATGGTACCACGAACGATTGTGTAAACGAGCTATTCCCAATCAAGGTGGAAGGCAATTACATTTTTCATACTCCGAGCTGAGCTGAGCTGGCCGGTTGAAGACAATCCTTCGTAGTCACCGACTTCTTCTGGAACATAGTTATTTCACATTGAACCAATCCGGTTTGTAGATGACTCTGTGGATCTTCTCACAGATGAAATGGTCGGTTTTTACTTGAGCTAACTGAGACGGTTGCATTTTTCGCCCGAGTGCTGAAAACTCAGATCAA